ACGTATTCTCCTGTGACGAGAATAAATTCCATTAGGATGATACTAGCAATTGCCGCTTTGCGGAATTTGGAAGTTCATCAAATGGACGTAAAAACCGCTTTTCTAAACGGCGATATAGACGAAGAAATCTATATGGAACAACCCGAGGGTTTTCGTGTTCCTGGCCAAGAAAAGAAGGTTTGTAAATTAATTAAATCATTGTACAGATTGAAACAAGCCCCTAAACAGTGGCACGAAAAGTTCGATCATGCAATGTTAATTAATGGGTTTAAAATAAACGAAAGTGACAAATGCGTCTATGTGAAAAGCACGGTAGACGGCTATGTCATTTTATGTTTATACGTGGATGATATACTCATCGTGGGTAGTAATAATCTGATGATTAATTCTACCAAAAACATGTTAAATTCTAATTTTGACATGAAGGATATGGGGCTGGCCGATTTAATCCTTGGGATTGAAATAATTAGAGGACCTGAGGGTCTGACGCTAAGCCAATCCCATTACGTTGATAAAATCCTTACTAAATTTAATAAGGATGATTATCAAGAGGCAAGGACGCCATTAGATAAAAACGTACACCTGACCAAAAATCGTGGAGAGTGTATTTCTCAAGTAGAATACGCTAGGATTATTGGCAGTTTAATGTATCTAATGAGTTGTACCAGGCCTGATATTGCCTTTGTGGTTAGTAAGCTTAGTAGATATACTAGCAACCCCGGTGATGAACACTGGAAGGCAATAGTAAGAGTTTTGAGGTATTTACGGAAAACCCAAAACCTTGGACTGCACTACGGAAGATATCCAGCTGTACTTGAAGGGTATAGAGACGCTAGTTGGATATCTGACATTAAGGACTCAAAGTCCACGAGTGGATATGTTTTCACTTTGGGAGGTGCAGCCGTGTCGTGGAAATCCTCGAAACAAACGTTAATAGCTAGATCCACGATGGAATCTGAGCTAATAGCCTTGGATAAGTGCACTGAAGAGGCTGAATGGCTACGCCATTTTCTCGAGGATATTCCAAGTTGGGAGAAGCCTGTCCCTCCAATATGCATACATTGCGATTGTCAAGCGGCAATTGGAAGGGCACAGAGCAATCTCTATAATGGTAAGTCTAGACACGTCCGTCGTAGACATAATACCATTAAACAACTTCTCACAACGGGTGTTATCACTGTTGACTACGTGAAATCAAAGGATAACATAGCGGATCCGCTAACCAAGACATTGGATAGAGAATTGTTGGAGAAGTTGTCACGAGGAATGGGATTAAAGCCCGTGAATTGAAAAGTTCTATAGTGGATACCCAACCTAGTTGGTCCTAGGTTCAAATGGGACAACTAAATTATAGAGCGAAGGATGGTCACTGTGGGGGTCCCGGACTCCTACCCACTCCTCGTTGAAACAGTGACTCCCGCACGAGGTTAGCAAAAAAACGTTTGCTTTAATGATTCTAAAATGTTGATCTACTCGATAACATTGGAAGAGTATGCGGGATACTCGTGAAAGAATCACCTATGTGAGAGAGAAGAGGGCCGCTTCAAAGGAGAACTGTAAAGGCTCAGTTCTTTAGAAACTCTTGTAGAACCAGGACGGTGACCCATGGCCAAAACGGGCACACCCATGAGAACGGAACAAAGTTGGAAGGTTCTTGTGTAAAGATAAGTCAATGTTTACAAGACGGCAGTATAGTTCAAAGACATCGAGTCTACTAGACAGCCAGTAAATAAACGTGTCTTTACGGCGGAAGGTTCAAAGGATTAAACCTACCTCTCCGTATACAAGGATCATCCGGTGAACACAACGTGTCCTCCTATCTTCGTGTCTTTTTGTAAGTCTCGAAAATCAATTTTCATTCATGTGGGGGATTGTTGGAAAAATGTGTGAAAATTGCATTAAATGGCTATTTTGGGGCAATTTTTTGAGTGGGGTCCACTTCTGATTTGGGTCGGGTCAAAGTGGTTTCGGATTGTCCTTGTTAAGGGATACAATTCGATATATGGTACGCTCAAAACGGATAACGGGTGAATGAGAAAAACTGGGAAAAAGGATGGTTTTCTAGTGTGTTAATTTCCCACACCGGAAAACCCAAGGGATTTGCAACCCTTTATAAAGGGACTCTCCCCTTAAGGAGTTAAGATTCCTAAGGGTAAAGGCTCTCTCCACGCGCGCAAGGGGGGGGGGGGGGTGCAAATCAAATCCCGAAATCGGAGAAGAAAAACCGCGACTTGCGCGGGCGACCTGCGGACACGAATGTCGTCCAAAAATCTATCTCTCAAGAGATACGATTAATTTTTGTTTTCTTCCCGAAACGTTTAATTTTTTCCCAGCGGCAGAAGTGCTCGGACAGAAGCCTACGGATCAGAACACCTCGTTGGAGTTCTGATGGCAGCCCATCAGAGATGGGGTATTCTGATGGCCGCCCATCAGAGTTGGGGGTACTCTGATGGCCGCGGATCAGAGTTGGGGTCTTCTGATTGGCCTCCGATCAGAACCCCTCCCGGGGAGTTCTGATGGAGGTCTTCTCTCGCACTTCTGAAACGTTACAACAATTAATGCCCAACGTTCTTATCTTTTAATGCAGCGTTAAATGGACAGTTCATGGACGATTCAATGCCCAACGGACTGGTCATTGATGTCCAACGTTCAGGTCCATTAATTCACCATTTACACACAACAAATCCTCCTATATAATGGCTGGCAGGTGGTTTGCAACAACACACGTTCTTACACGATTGTACACGTTTTTAGCTCTAAAAACACACTGCTAGCATTCTGAAAAATTCCTCTGTGTTCATACTGTGTTCTCGTTCGCTGGAACTTTTGTTTGTGTGCTCAAACATTAGTTCGTAGTCATCGTATCCTGGGAAACTATTGTTGCAACGCTCCTAGCACCGTGGGAGGCAACAAATACGTTTTAAGGACATCGTGCGTAGCACGAGCTTTGACTAATTCTGCTTCAACTCCTTTCTTGTTTTTCTCTAGTCATTTTATTTAATTAATTTATTTTAATTAATTTTCTTTATTTTCCGAAACACACACAACAAGCAGAGCTTTTGAGGAGTTCGATAATATACCTGTAGAGAAGCAGCCCTTAGATAGGGTAAAACTGGCTATTCTTGACTTGATTTCCAATTACATAATTGGAAACCAAAAGACAGTGAAATGCCCAGCAATCTACATCAACATGGTAGATAATCTTGATTTAGTGAACCAGTACCCTTGGGGAGATGAAATCTGGGAAGATTTATTGGAAAAAGTGCCTAAGTGGACAGAAAATATTAAAAGGGCCACAAAAGACAGATTCACATTTCCAGGTTTTGTCTTTGCATTGCAAATATGGGCATTTGAAAGTTTCCCAGCTCTTAGAACGACACATGTTTGCCAGTTAGAGGTAGAAAGGAAAGATTTGTTTCCTAGATTGCTGAAGTGGTCTGCACCAAAGAAAACTAATGTTGCAACACTAGCAGATGTCATATTTCTGAATGAAGAGGTAAATTTCTTTTTAATGTCTGTATTATATGTAATTTTAATTCATGCTTTATGATGTGCACTAACTTATTGTATGCATAATTTCTCTTATGTACTGCAGTTTGAATATCAGAAAATGGCACCAACTGAAGACGAGCTTAAGAATCCATTGATAAATGCTTTGTATGCAAACAAGGTCAATAAGTCTCTCAGAACAAGTCGTCTTACTTTGAAACATGGGCCAGCAAAACAGAAAAGAAATGTTTTTGTGGAAGGGAGTAAAGAAGAAAATGGGAATGTTCACGAAAAGGAGTCTGAAGCAGCACAGATTGATTGCCCTAATGAAGAAGATACTGACTTGAAGGAACAAATTGACAAGGGTCCAACTGCAATTGGATTAAAGAGGTTAAATAGTTTGATTAAAAGAAAAAAAACTGCTGGCAACCAAAGCAGAGATAGATGCAACAATCATGCGTAACATAATGGCTGCAGTGGTTGTTGGGCCTGCCGCGGGTCTGCGGTCAGCAATCTGCCAGCCTGCCGGTGCAATCGGACCGCGTGGCGCTTTGCCTGTTCTATAAAAGGGGGAAGGGCGTGCTACACTATCAGCGATTGCTTTTAGTGTAGCGGTAAGCGCAACGATCCACAATTGGTATCAGAGCCAAAGGTCACGGGTTCGACCCCCCGGCAACAGCATGCTGCTCAGTTGTAGGCTGGCAGGTGCTGGGGGGAGATTGTTGGGCCTGCCGCGGGTCTGCGGTCAGCAATCTGCCAGCCTGCCGGTGCAATCGGACCGCGTGGCGCTTTGCCTGTTCTATAAAAGGGGGAAGGGCGTGCTACACTATCAGCGATTGCTTTTAGTGTAGCGGTAAGCGCAACGATCCACAGTGGTGCTCCAATCAAAGAAGATGCAAAAGTTTGAGAGAAGAATGAAAACAATAGAAGATGGAATACAAGAAGTTCTGAAAGGGCAAAAGCAGCAGGCAGAGATGCTGAAAGCTTTAATGCTTCAAAGCACCGGAAATGCAGAAGGTGAAATGAGCGAAGAAGAAATCCATGTGCAGATTCATGAAGCATCACGAGGAATAGATAAATGAATTTTGGTCTCAGATATACCAAGTTTTGACCTACATCTGGATCTAACACAGAAAGAGAAGGAAAGAACAATGGAAAATAATGAAGCTGGTCTAGGCGGTGAGGATGATGCAGAAGGTCTAGGAAGTGAGGAGGCAGAAGGTGGTATAGGCAGTGAGATGGCTGAAGGTCTAGGCATTGAGGATAAGAAAGAACTTGGAAGTGAGGATGCAAATCCCATATGTGCCCAAAAAGAGAATTCAGCAATCTATGAAGATGGCATGATACTCACTCCTGCTCAAGCAAGCATAAACACACAAGAGTTGGAAATGCATGTTGACAACGCCATTCATAGTGTCATTAAGGACTTGAAGCAAACAAAGGTAATTGCTATTTGTGTAATAAATTTATTTATGTAATGATTGACTTGACAATTTTTGTTACGTTATTATAGGAAGATGAAGCAATGACTGCTGATGCTGGTGATTCAAAAGAAACAGCAACTCTTGAACAAGATGAAGAACAGAACATTGAAGCAGACAGTGAATCACATAAACGTGATGAAATAAATAAAGAGAAAGGACAACAAGAGAACATGGATGCTCACAATTCTAAAGATAAGGTAAGTAGTTACTTTAAATTTCAAAAGTTCAAAATGAAAGTAGAATAGACAGCATGATTGATAAAGTGAATTTTTGAACTGATGAGGAAGTTGTAAATGCACAGGCTGAACATAAAGTTCAAATTGCAGAAGAAAATAAGGTCATTAAAAGGTCAAAAAGGGCTGCTAGGAGTCCTGATAGATACACTCCTAACCCCACAACAGAAATGAAGAAAAGGAAAATGGAAAAGGCATTAAAAAAAATTGAATGAAACACAAGTTTCTGAGAAGAGTACATTTGAAGGACCATTCAGTGAGGACCCAAAGCAAATGCCACCTACAGAGGACTTGGATAAGGTAAAAGAATTTGTGAAGGAGGGCCTGGTAAAAAACCATTCAAGTAATGTCCCCAAAAAGTACAAAAAAAAACATGAAGAACTAGTTGAATGCAAGTTTGGTATACAATTAGATCATTTCATCATACCAACAAAGACATGGATTTATGACCTCTTCACAAATGAACGTTGGTTGTCTGACATGGACACATGGTAAGTTTATATCAACATATGTCACATGTAAATTATAATAATATGATGCATAAAAATAATTTATTAATTGATTTTGTTACTTTTTTCAGCATATTGCAGTGGCATTTTATTACCTAGGAGTGAAAAGAAAACAGTACCAAATCAAGCAAAAATATGCCACAACAGACCCATTATTTATTGGGGTGATGAAGTTGAAGTGTGAAATGGTCACTAATGACAAAACAACAATGACTGAGGCAGCTTCTAATGGAAACATAATGAACACAATGCTTGGGTCAAATGGGTTGCCATGGGCAGAAGCTGACTTTGTATACATGCCACTGAACATAGGGATGCACTGGATACTCTTGGTGTTGGACATTAATGGAAAACGTATCAGAGTCTATGACTCCCTAAAGAGAAGAGGAGATTCCTTGGCAACGATTAGGGCATTCCTTCATTGCTTGGAGACCTTCTTACCAAGAGTAATGGAGAGGTTGGGAGTTTATGACAAAAGACCGAGTGCACAAATTGGAAAGGGAAAAATTCGTGTAAATATAGTCCGTAATTGTCCACAACAAGATGATGGGTACGTCATGTAATAATTTAACTATTCTTCACATATCTGAATACATCATAAATGTTTAACTTCATATTAAATACTTATGCATTTACAGGGGCAACTGTGGTGTCTTTATTATCAAATTTGCTGAGTTTCTCATGATGGACAAAGATGTGAGTGAAGTTTCGAAGCAAGACATAGAGACGTACCGACAAAAGATGACGACAGAGCTACTGATGTATGCATCATGAAGGCAGTAGTTGGACTTGATGATTTGTAATAAATATTTTGTTGGGAACAAATATATTTCTGAAATTTCTTTGTTTTGGTCATTAAGTATTGTTACTAAGTATTCAAGACAGTTGGGTTGACTATGTGTAATCTACATTTTTACCACCATATGTGATGCTTGTTCGCTTTTAGCATGTGTTTAATGTGAAGTTTTGCGAAATCTAGTTAAAGTATTTCATAAAGTCCATAATTGGACACTAATTAGTCATTAATATTTGAGTTCTAGACATTAAAACTTCAAGTCATAAATTTCAATGACATTTATTTTCTGAGTATTTGATTTCTCAAACATCTTACTCAAGAATATGCATCATGATGTCTCATAATACCATCCAGCTATGAAGATTGTTGAACATGTGAGGAAGAAGCTTAAAATAACACAATAGTGAACTTCCTTGGTGCTATTGTTCACTTTTGTGTATAACGATAGTTGAATCATACTAGTTAAGAAGAAAGACAAACCGGAAGAGACAATTACAGATGCCACTTTTAAAGATTCACTAACAATGAGTGTAATTATGGTCTTCGTGTAGACATTACGTAGTACATAAGTAGACAATAATTTTCATCACAGCAGCAACTTGGTTGCATTTTACCAATCAATAAAGTCAGTATGAATAACATAAGATTCAAAAAAAAAGTAATTATAATGAAACGCCAAAGTACTATTCCAATGAACATAGAATACAATGCCAACAAATCGTGGCAGCTAACAATAGTGATGAATAAAGCATAAATGTCTTTCAATTATTTATTGCTTGTTTAGGGAAAAAAACAAAAGCACATAAAACTATGAAGCACGGACTGGGATAGGATTCCTGCAAGACTTCTTATTATGGCTGCCTTTCTTACACCGTGAACACCGCTGCCTGGAACCAAACTCTCCAATTGAAGGAATACGCTTCTTCTTAGGTCTACCCGGTTGGCGTGTGAGGCATGTAGGTGGCTTGCATATTTCAGATGCCACAGAAGCAGGAACACCCCAATCACACCGAGAACCAAGAGGGTGAACTTCCCCTATATAAGCAGCAACCCACTCACGTGTGAAATAAAACTTTGAGATGTAAACATAGCACGATAAACCTCGACGATGACCTACAACTGCAACTCCATGTACACATATAAAGTGGTCTAGTTGAAATTCACAACATGAGCATGTTTTGTCTTTCAGATTAACAATAAAGCTTCTGGATGTTTTGTCCACCACTTCAAATTCATATTGACTAGCAGGATTGACCTAAAACAAGAAAAAATTGCTAACATTAGTTACACTTAAAACAATAGTGCAGAAAGATGACAAGAATAAAAGGATAAGAATGCAATAAAAGGCAGAAGGTAAGAACGTAGTTGAGACTTACACTCATAAGAGCTGCCTCAGCATGATAAGAACGAAGTTGAGATTCAAAATGGTCAGACAGAATTGTTTTACAACTTGATGAAGAATCACGACGTTCACAAAACCATTTTTGCATCCTTCCCCGCAAGAAGTCTATCAATTTTGCTATAGGATACTCACGAGGCACACGGTCCACTGAATTCACTGACTCGGCGTTGTTAGATGTCATTATAGAATACCTAGAACGAGGAGCAAAACAGCGAGCCCATTTCTCAACACCTATTTCATTCAAATAATCACGGATACGGGGATCTTCTGCATCTAATAAAGCCATATACTCTTCAAATTGAGCAGGAGTGGCAGCCCTAGCAGCTTGATTAAACTTCCATGCAAGACCTGTAGTAGATCCCTTGAACTTTGATCTAATATTTCCTAGGGTATGGTACGCACAGTAGCCGTGTTCAGCATGCGGAAACACCACTTTTGCTGCATGTATAATACCATCGTGACGATCTGAAACAATATACATGTCCTCCCTATGTGCAAGACACTCCTTCAGTTTCATAAAAAACCAAGTCCATGTTTTCCTTCGCTCAGTATCACACACACCAAAAGCCAAAGGGAAAATCTGGTTGTTAGAATCTTGACCACATGCAGTCAATAGAGTACCCTTGTAATACGCTTTCATAAATGAGCCATCAATTATAAGAACCGGAACACAATGTTTCCAGCCTTCCATCCATGCATTCAACGACATGAAGAAAGACTTAAACCGATTATGTGCCCCAACATCTAACAAAATCAATGAACCAGGATGTTTCTTTCTAAGAACATAAGCCATGGAGGGTAACAATTGATATGATTGCTCATCTGAACCCATCAACTTTTCTTGAGCTTTCTTGTTTGCAAGCCAAGCTTTCTTGTAAGGTATAGTCAAACCATAATCTCTATTTAAATCAACAATAATATCTTTCGGAGCATAAGGTTTTCTAGATGCATCCGCATATCTGTGTTTGATGAGTTCAGCAATAATTTCTGTGGTAGCTTGGCGGTGGGGACCTTGTCTCACATCAAGTGAGCATGTATGCACAGAATCAAATCTGGAAGTTGTACAACAGTAAGTAGTCATTAAAAAGGCAGTAATTATATTAGACAATAAGTTAAAAATAGTACAAAATCAGATTGTAAACACAAACAATTCTCATTAAATTACCTTTTTACTTGAAACATTTGAGATCCACTCAACCTCACTGCACGTACAGCCCAATCACAATTCTCATCATCAACACAAACAACATGCAAGACTTTTCTAGTTGATGTCTTTGTTTGATATTGGAAAAGATTTGAAATGGCATACATCTTCAAATGATGGGCTAATGATTTCTTATCCTGGTAGATAGCATCTTTAGCAATACGAGTAGGATGAAAGTGACAGATTACTTGAATATCTTGAAAATCATGAAAATAGTCTAAATCAAAGTGTTCATTAACAGCAAGATCTTCACTGCCTGAAGATGTAGGTGAAGAAACTGCATTGCTAGAACCAGAAATATCAGACTGAACTGAAATATCAGCATTCGTAGCATACATATCCAAAGACATATCTTCATTTTGAGGAGAAGAAATGTGAAATGTGTGATGATGCATGATAGAAGTGTCTTCAAGATCATCAAATTCACCATTTGCAGCCACATTTAAATCAAATGCAGGAAGTTGTGAAGAGAAGTGGGAAGCAGTAGACACAGAGAGTGGAAACAACTCAACACACAAAGGATACTTGGCATAATCAGGTTGTGATTTTTTAAGAGCCAAATAAAAGCACAAACTGTAATCATCATTAACAACCATTGGGGGAGGACATTCTTCAACCAAATAACTGATCTTCAACTTTTCATTCATAGCAAATGAACCAATGCATGAATACACCAAAGCAATAAAACGAACATATAATGTCTCATCTGGAACTATGAGACCACAAGTTCGTTTATTACAGAAAACATAGGATTCATCCCAACTTCCATCCACCTTTAGCATAATCAACATGTTGTTTTGATCTGAGTAAAAACAGATAAATCAATTCAAATATCATATTGAACTCATTACATAATATATTGATGTGAATAAGTAATTGTGATTACAAAACAGATAAATATATGATGTAGTCATGTATTAAAAAATAAATGAAAAAAACTAAGAAAAGAAGCAGAAACAAAAATAGTAATAGTCAGATTTAACGAACAATAGACAGAACACTAATACACAAACTTATGTACTATGAACTTCAAATCTATTGATGCAGGAGAATGTCTAAGTGCAGTACACAGAACTGATAAAACGTCCAAATAATCTCGAAGTGTTGTACACAATAAACCATAGGAATATAATTTCAGAGTATGAAGATAACTAAATGAAGAAATTCATAAACAATGTAATTCTGAAAAAACGAACACAAAATCGTAATCAGAACACAATACATACAAACTTACAAGACAAAATCGCAGAAGAAACGGGGCACAAATCGTGATGAAGCTCAATCGGTAGTTTGCAGCTAACTCCTCTCGGAATAGAGATACTGAATCGCAATTGATGGAGATTGAGTTCGAATTAGTGATGCAAATTACTCAGCGAAACTCTAGAGCAAAGTTTGAAGAAGATCGAGCGAAGGATCATGTTTCCTTCCATGGACGAAGCAGTAGGCGGTTAAGTCGTTAGCAGAAGGAATAAAAGCGGAAGGCTATTAAAAGGGGAAGGCTATTATGCCTCTTAAACAATCAAGGGTATTAATAAAGATATACGGATGAACAAATTTTAAGTAGGTCCTATTTATATCAAAAGTTAATGAAAGAGTCTCATTCTCGACAATTTTCTCATAAAAAATTGACTTTGTTGGAGGAAATCGGACTACTCGAAACAACATGGTCAGCAAACTTCTTCCAACTTCTTTGCCTTTTCTTTTTATTATTACGGAGTATATCCCAGAAAACTCTTGATAAATTTCCATCGCTGTACCAAGAAAAAATTCGAAACCGTGCATTTGCTCAGAAAATTTAAAGAACGAAAATGCCTCTGAGAAACGACGACTACAAGTTTCTTCAGATAGTAGACGCCATTGCTTCAATTAACCAAAGAGTCAATCTCATTGGCGTTGTCACTGAGAGTGGCTTGCCTAAGCAGTCAAAAGGCACTGGTAAAAAAATCTGCTGAACACTCCACTGTTTCTCAATACTCCACATATAATTTATTCCCTGAGTTCATCATCTTTAACTTTTCATGATCATTTTTGTGAATTATACGCAGACTGTTGTGTTTCAATCAAAATTATTGATGAGTCTCGGCCGAGTCATGGAATTTCAGTCAATTTTTTCGAGGAGACCGTGGACAAGCTGCCTCATGTGATGACAGTGGGGGATATTATTCAGCTTTCTCAAGTTGTGGTAATATCATTTAAATAAATCTATTTGTTTATATAATTACTTTTCGTAAAAGAGAATTGCTCTTTTGTTTAGTTTGTTACTGGACTGCCCAATGATTAATAGTGAACCATTGGGGCATATAGTAATCTGTATTCCAGTTATTTTCCGAGTTATTATTCCTTAGCATAGGTGCTAAAATTGATACAGGGCTTTATGAGCATATTTGGTTTTATTTTGGTCTGTTTGCATTCATGCTTATAATGTTTTACTGAGTAGTATAAGAAGTAACACTAAATAAGCATTCCAAATTGGTCGAACCAACTACACTAATGGCTCAGTTGAACAAATGATTGCTTTTAAGGCTTCAAAAGTTTAAGAAAGAGAAAGGTTACTGACAAAATGTATCTTGTGCAGATGAAAAGCTATGGACACTATGGACCTGATGCTGGTGTTAATGCTTCATACCACAAGAAGTTCTCATCATTTGCTTTATATGAAGGAAAAAATGGTACAAGCTTCACACCATACCAATGTTCTGCTAAATTTCGTGCCAGTGAACGAGATAATCAATTTATACTGGGCCTACGAGACTGGTTGGCTGGTGAACAGATTGATACAGGTGCTTCAGTGACAAGCATGGTGACATTTTTTTCTAATTAAGAATATATTTGTAATAAGAGTTCTTTATATGCTTCCTCTCCCTCTACCTCTAATGGCCTTTTTCCCCTGACAGGGCCTGCTAATTTGTTACATTTGAAAGAGTTAAAGGAAGGCATTGACCTCAATTTAGTTTGTAAGGTACTCGACTGTAATTCAGTCTCTTAACTATATCACAGACATTATACACTACCTACTTATCCACAATTGCCCAATTTGTGCACTTGTGCTCCATCTTATGGAAATTGAAATTATGAATAAGATTCTTCATGCACGTGAAACAAAAAGAGATGAATGGATGCTCTTTGTTTGGGATGGTACTGACACCCCGCCAGTTTCTATAAATACAAAGTAAGTACTTGTGCTTTCATTTTTCATTTTGTAGAGTTATTTATCAAAAGATAACACAAACTGTGACACAGTTTGTAATACTAGCACGGTCTTTAAACAATACGGAGCAGTACACTTTCATGCCTACAGCTTTTCAGTTTCGTCTTTTCGACTATCTTAGTAAAAAAAGGTCTATGATGAACTAGTAGAGATCCTAATAGAGTTCAATTGATACCACTATACCAGTATGCGCAACAATTAGTTAGTGAACTGATAGGCAAATTGCTATAGACTTATAGTTCATGTTCTGTGGATTGATGCAAAGCCTGTGCATGCATGAATTATTACCCTCAATTTTAACTTCAATTATTACCCATAGGTGACAAATGGAACTCCAACTTTGCACACATGTTTGAGCTCCCTGCTTCCCTCCCCTAATATCTATTTACTCATGTTGGGTGTATTAGACATTTAGAGAATTCTGAGTTTGCACTGCCTTCAAAAAGTGTGATCAATGTAATTGGTTTATTTTGCCAATTTTCCATCAACATCGTCACTAATAAATAAGTTTACACTGAATAAATCGCTGGTTTCATTATTCTAGCGGCTAATTCCCTAAATAGGAGTAAATAAAAGCTATATTGCAAGAATAGGAGTAGAAGTTTTAAATTCCCAGAATAGGAGTAATTAGTACTCTCTATACCAATTCTACCCTTAACAAATTTTAATATTAAAAAATTGTTTTCTATCTATAAAAAATCATAAAAAATATGCTGGCACCTTCTGCGGACGCCTTCGAGCACCGTTACTGTTGATAACAGGAGAAAAATGCCAACATTTTTGTCGGAATGCCAACTTGAACTAATAATGTCATCTTAATGGCATTTTCAAAGCAAAATATGGCTTTTGTGAAGAGTAATAATGCAATCTTGATGGCATTCTCAGAGTATAGTTTGGCATTTTTTAACAAACAAAGAAGAAACAGAGCATGTCAAGCTGTTCAACAGCGACCTGCAACGAAACAGAAGAGGGAGAAGAGAGAACCAGAGAAGAGGGAGAGGAGAGGAGAGGAGAGGAGAGGAGAGGAGAGGAGAGGAGAGGAGAGAGGAGAGGAGAGGAGAGGGAGAGGGGAGGGGAGGGGAGGGGAGGGGAGGGGAGGGGAGGGGAGGGGAGGGGAGGGGAGGGGAGGGGAGGGGAGGGGAGGGGAGGGGAGGGGAGGGGAGGGGAGGGGAGGGGAGGGGAGGGGAGGGGAGGGGAGGGGAGGGGAGGGGAGGGGAGGGGAGGGGAGGGGAGGGGAGGGGAGGGGAGGGGAGGGGAGGGGAGGGGAGGGGAGGGGAGGGGAGGGGAGGGGAGGGGAGGGGAGGGGAGGGGAGGGGAGGGGAGGGGAGGGGAGGGGAGGGGAGGGGAGGGGCTACTTCACTCCGGCCACTAGATCTGGAATTGCTACTCACCAATGCTCCCACGCTAGTCGTCGCTGCTCGCTTCACTTGGAAGCTCGTCGTTGCAAGCTTGCAACCGGAGATGATGAGCGGAGAAGAAAGTACTGCTGCTGCTCGCCGCTCAAAGCGCCTCAAAGCTCGCCGTCTTGCAACCTGTAAGAGATGATGAGCGGACTGGAGAAGATGATGAGTAGATCGGGGAAGATGGATGGTGAGCTAAGAAGAAGATGAACGGTGTGCTGCTGTACACTATTGAAAAAAATAGGAGAAGGGTAAATTTGGAAGTTGGAACAATAGTCCTATTTATGGAATAAAAATATACTTACTCCTATTTGGGAATTTAAGTATCATTTTACTCCTAGTTGGGAGTTTAAGTATCATTTTACTCCTAGTTAGGCAATAACTCTTTTTCTAGAGTGATTAAAAACAATGTGTTACAAATTCATTAAAAATTCCAATTTATCTGTGATTAATTTAATTAAAATCAGCAAATTCATTTTTTTGCAAATGGATATCAAACCCATCAATAAAATCATTTTACAGAAATTGACTAACTTTATGGCTTTCAAAGACACACAACAACATTCCATCGCGCCATGGCAACCACCATTGTTGGTCAGACAAAGAGGTGTATGATCCTTTTTCAAATCTATTTATATGGAAAATTCACTTTTTACTTTGAACTTTTCTGCTTATGTTTTTACAGGCTAGAAGATGAAATGGAAAGCTCACTGCCTTTACAATTGGAACCTATTCCCTTATCAAGAAATGTTTTATGTACATTCCCACCTCTTGGAACTGTTTTAAGAGTGATTGTAGACTCTTGTAATATAAAGTTTGGTCTAAACTGCATTAAAACTGGTCAATGGGTTAAACTCTTAACCCTGAGGTGTGAAGTTAGTTCGTCATTGTGGCTTGCTGTTCTAGGGCCATTTTCAAAATTTGGCTACCTGCCTGATGACAACGACCTGGTATTACAACGTAAAAGGTATTGTTCATTTGTTCCTTGAGTTTAGCGCTTGGTTTTCTTTTATGAAGTTTAAAATGGTTTATAGATGTGCTTGTTTTTAACATAAAAGAGGAAGATATCACGAGACATGCAAGATTAAAGGGGTTGCAAGTTGCAGCACCTATAGTGCAGTGTTGCGTAATAAAATTGATGGGACTGGGATTAATATCATCGGTGTTGCCAATCAAACTAGATAGGGATGGAGTCATGAATGTTGTCCTGGTTTCCTTTTATCAGTTTATATATTCCATAGTGTACAAGACCATTTGGTTCATATTTGTAGCAAAATACACTTGTACAAAAAGTGTATATCCTACTAGCCAGATGAGGATTCATGACCAAAATAAGAACACACTAAATGCTAGACTATACCCCTTATCCCCTGTAAAAATCACCCCCTACTATATTATGTTTTCATACAAAAAAGTTTCATTCTGTCATTATGCGTCAGTATTATACTATTATATGTATTTTAAATTTGTGGTTCACATGCTACATTTAATTACTAGCAGGATGATATTGACTTTTACACTAACCAAATTTCTTATTCCAATTAAAATACACTCCACAAAACTGCTCTACACGCAATAGAAGAACGATGTTAGTTTTTCTTCATTACCTCATCTAGTTGTAACCTTTTGATTTGTTTCTCTACTAAGACAAGAGCAAGTACTCTACTGTGTGATGCATATACTATATATGTTTTTCTATTCCACAGGAACTATGATGATCGTTTGTCATCAAAATTAGGATGCATGCCTCTATCAAGTTTTCCGTGGCATTCTGGAATGACACGTATGGTTGCTATGCTCATCTGTATCCCTATTTTTTGACATGGTATTGGCGCTTTAATGATTTCATTTAATATTCATAAAATTCAGAGACTTCATGTCCAAGTGTACCCTTCACCACTCTGATGAATGTTCTAACATATCCCGAGGTACACCACCTTCTCTTTTCCGTCTCTTTCGAAAGTCTTTTGAGAACAATTAGGGGAATTTACTGGTTAAACTAATAAATAATCACATAACCTACTGACTGATAATTCAACAATATGATTACTTGTCCCTGTTTTTGTTAGAGTATAGGGAAATGTTAACAAATTTACGATAGATGTACCATTGCCAATAATACAAAGAGACATCGATACTCTAGGAACCCTTTCATCCCGCCCATTCTGCCCTTATAGGAATATACAAAAAAGGGTCGGCCTGTTCATCCCGCCCAGTCCACCCTTATAAATTGGCAGACTTACACATATATATTTATCCATCAGACCTGAAACAAGATATGGATGGGTTTGGGATAAGGTGTAGGCCCGTTCGGGCTAATAAGTTCTTCATCATCATCATCATCATCATCATCATCATCATCATCATCATCATTACCCCAATGCTGCAAAGGTTCCCACCTACGGTGGGGTAGGGGGGGTCGGATGTACGCAGCCTTACCCCTGTACTAAAACACAATGAGACTGTTTCCGGATGACCCATGTGAAAATCACGTCGAAAATTGCACGGACTGACTGCTACTTCATAACAAAGAAGCGCAGATAGTTTAGAGAGTCATTTTGCTTTATTCCATCATACTCCCATGCCAAAAATAGGTAAACTTTGGCTCCATCATATTCCATCATATTCCAACCCGGTATAATTAATTCATATTAATATATATAGCGAAAAGTACAAAAAAGAAATACTTGTGGTCTAGAGTGTTTTCAGAAAGGGTCATGTGCTCCATTTCTTCCCAAAGTCGACCTTGTGTTTTAGGTCTATTATCACTCTTGGGGTCCGAAGCCAAACTCCATTACAAAGAGATGAGGTGGCAAGTATTTTAAAACTTGGCCCTATAAGACCATCCAAAAAGAGTCTGGTTAATTTTTCATCATTCCCCATCACCTAGTAGTAAGTTCATGGGAGGAAGACAATTAACAATAACTCCAATTTTAAAAAGTGTCCAGCAAATTAAAACAAAAACAGTGGGAGGTGTGCCTGATCAAGGCGACTTCAAACCATTTTGTTGTTTCCAGCCACCTCTGTCGCCAAAAAGTCAACCAGAAAGCTCTGAGATGCGCAGAAAATGAAAAGTATCCCGACCAAGGGTTAGTTCAATAAATGGATCAAATGGTGTTTTCGGAAACTCAAAATGCATTAGTGGGTTATGCGTCAAAATCAGTGTGGTGATGAACAGTGATCTATGCGAATTATTTTTCTGAGAGTCCAAAAGAGCCGGAAAATCCAAAAGATGCAAATCCAATCATGCATATTGCAGGCGTGAAGAAATTCATCCTTGAATCTGGGAGAAGAAGTCATTTTAATTGTGGATTGTTCGTTAAAAGGTCATTGATCATCGTCTTGTTCCTCTGAGTTCACCACTTGGAGACATCATCATTATTTTGCGCCACACAACGTTGAAGAAGTTGCCTTGAACATCACACTGAGTTATTATTGGCCACATAAGGGGCCAATTTTTAAAAAGGAATTGCCACCTTAGTTGTTACTAGCAGAGTTTTCCTTCGGACCCCACAGGTGATAACTAACTTAAAACACAAGGACAACTTTGAGGAGAAATGAAACACAGACCCTTATCCATAAACGCTCTCAACCACAAGTATTTTTCTGTATTTTCCCTATTATTTGTTCATATATGGAGTATGCATGATTGCATCTAATATTTATGTATGTAATATGTGGTTCACTATGATTATGCATATTTATGGTGCACTATGTTTAACTATAGTTTTTAGATTTTAACTTCTAGCTCAACCCAATATAATAGATAATCTTACACTTAAGGCAATGTTGTGTTCTTGAATAGTAAGGTTTTTTTACTTGGACCGTTTTCAGTCCCAGACCAGACTAAACTTGGATAGTTATAAAATACACAAAGACCGGACGTTTGCCAGACCATTTCAGACCAGACCAAACCAGAAAATTCCAGTCCAAGTAAAAATATCCTAATTTTAGTTATAGGCTTTTATGATTATTATTGTGCTAACATTATTTGTATGTGTGATGAGAGACATATGAACATTATAAAGACTAACAATTTTTTAAAATGTTGTAGTGTCATTTTAAAAGTGTTCTAAAATGTTTTATTAATATTTGTGTGGTTGCAACTCATTCTTACTTTATCAAATCAATATCAACCATACAATCTCACTGTTCTTAATACTGCACCACCTCCTTATGTACCAAACTTAGGAGAATCAATGTAGTATTATTTAAAGTTTTTCCAATAAAACTAACTCTCAATCGAAGCTTTATTGTATTGTTGTTGATAAGATATGTTTTACCTCTTGAAAAGTATCCGATATGCGTTACAATGCTCTTCTGAAAAAGTGAAACTGTTAAAAGTGGAATTATTCGTATAAGATCATGCCTTGCATGCTTAATTGCTCAATACAGCTTCTTTTCCGTTAAAGTATTGAATATATGTGTTGTAGGTGACGTATAAGTTTCGGTGTGTGGTTCGGGTAGTTGCATCATTGCCCTGGAGAGTTTCAGAGTTCCGCTCTCCTTCGGGGACCTATAGGGTCAGGTTGACACTAGAAGATCCAACTGCTAGAATCCATGCTTTTCTTTATGCAGATGATGCGGTAAATAAAGTTCTATTCACCTTCATCATCGTCACTTTGCATAGAATTTTTAATTGAGTCAAAGCATAAATAAGTTACGAAGTTCACCCTTACAGATGAAACTCACTTTCCTGACTTTACTGAATGGACAGATAAAATGAATCCCAAAACTCTCAAAGTTGTTATTTAAACTGGAACAGAGGAAGTATATTAGGGTCAATGGCTTGAATCGATTGATTGTCTGGAATTACTATGCATAAAATCATATTGACAAAGTATAGTGCTTGGCGCCCCTCAGACCACAGTTTAAAAAAAAAGAACAGTGAAATGAAATTTCAAGACCGTCATTTGAGTTTGTTGAATTCCACCCCTCAAGGTGGAATTATGTGGTTTTGTTGGCCTAGTGGTTGAATTCCACCCCGTCATTTGATTCTTGGCCTCTTGTGGTTTTGTTGAATAATGAATGAATCTCATTTACACAGGAAGAGTTCTTTAGACCTTTCCCATCAGCTGATCAATTAACAACAAAGTGGAATTTGTTGCTTGGCGTTCCTGTGAGCAGCGCCTATGGTAGTTGCACTTCTAGATCTCCTCCATGGATTGAGTGCTGTCTGAAGTCTTATTATGTCGACAAAAGTGATGTTTGGGGTAGTAGAAACTATCAGATCTTTGCAACAACTTTAGTGGAATAGCCTTGAACATTTCCCCCAAATACTACTGTCATTTGCAATCTTTTCTATATCAACATTTTTGGTAAATATGTTGGACATCTTTTCTATATCAACATTTTTGGTAAATATGTTGGACACGAAGCAATTGGAGTCGTAGAGTAAATTTATAAAGTTGCGTTCGAGCCCTTCAGTTGTTCTTCAATGAACTTGGATTCTGGTTCAACTCTTTTCACTGTATTAGGTGTGAATACAGAAGGGAACTGGGATTGTGTGCGTCCATTATTTTAACTGAAAACTATACTTTCGGGCGGGATTTGCGGGAATACTTACGAGTTACGACTATACTATGACGCCAGACTGCAATACTGCAACCACAAAAAGGGCAGACCGTTAGAGATCAAACTTGGTCACCACATCATAATACTTACCACTGTACTATAAGTTTATGACGCCTATATTGACAACTTTAAAATTTACATTTTAATAACAGTTTGCTCATTTCTCGATGATAGTTTTAGAAACAAAATTATCAACTCTTTGAAGTCTAAAGGTCTCAAGTTTGGTGCCATTGTGACAATGTTTCTATAAACTTGACAATTGTCAAGTGAAATAAGAAAGCAAAAAATATTTTAGTTTAGATTTTAATATTTGTTTGGTAATCTCTCTCTGATAATTTTCTATGTAGTATATTAAAAGATCAAACATTAGAGATCTTAAGGTCTCAAGTGTGGTACAATTGTGGCATTGTTCCATGGATTTTGGTTGATTGTCACATGAAATAAGAAAGTAAAAAATGTGTATTGATAAAAAATATAATACATTCGTCCCATTTTAATTGTTTTACTTTTCATTTTGGATTATTCCAAAATGAATGTTCTGTTTTCTTATTTGGTAAGAAATATATGATTAATATTATTTCACTTTATCCTACTCAAATCTCAACTACAACTTTTACTTTTTCAACCACTATTAATAATTGTACCAAATTGAAACAAGACAACCAATATGAGACAGAAGTAGTAATGTGTAACTGTTTATTCTCTTAAACTACTCTCTAATATACTACGTATATTTTTTCATCACCAGGTTAGCCCGACAAAGTCGGGCTAATTTTGTATAAGAACCCACAATCTTGCAGAAGTAAATCTGAGTCACTCGAACCATATGCTAGATTCTCACAATTAAGTATACACCATTGTACACATAAATTCACAATTAACTAATTGATTGTGCGTGTGTGAAGGTTCCCAGTGGAAACCTTTAAGAGAACGGTCACTGATTGGTCAAAAGTCACCATGTTTCTAGAAAGAAGCATCGCGTTACAATGTTGCTTGAAGTGAGACGAAGCATTGTTGTGCGTCTACTCGAACTAGCCCTAACCCCGTTATTATCAATGAAAACAGAGGAACAATGTCTCCTAAGAGCAGAGTTGAAATGAAGATACATATTAAAATTATTTATTAGACGAACTGCATATTGTATTGTAAATTATTTTGCTTAATATTTCTTTATTAGAACATATTTCACCACTGACTAATCTTTCTAGTGTTTTTCGTCCATCCCAAATTTTCTCCTCAAAATGAACCCCAACTACTATTTTCATTTTCAAATTTTTTCGTATGCAATGATGTTTATTAAAGGCAAATATTAGGCCATTTTTATGTACTTTTAAATGTGTAGATTCTATTTGTTTATAATGCATAGAAAATAGTTATTACGCTCAGTATTGCCTATTACATGAGCAAGGATGCTTTCTTTTGAACTGAAATTTGCTTGTTTGGTCTGATTTGGTTTGTTTAAGTCTGGTCCGGTCTGATAAATGTCTGATCTCTGTGTATTTTATAATTGTCCAAGTCTTTGTCCAAGTCTGGTCTAATCTGATCTGTTTAAGTCTGGTCCGGGATTGAAAACAATATAAAAGAAAACATCCTAAAACACACCATACAATATCACGCTAATGACATTTTAGCATACGAGTATCAACAATCAAGTATCTCGGGTCTTTTATCAAAGTAACGCCCATTTCAGTGCTCAAGTTTAACCTTGATCCTCTAATTCATACTAGCACAGTGGCACTCATTTCCGTACTTTTGGCTACCCATAAATTGGCGCAAAAACTCAAAGTACAAATTTAATACTTAGCTGGTCATTAAACCAAATCAGAGGTAAGCAAAGCAAGAAAGAAGTAATGAGAGAGTGTAATATAGCATGGTCTTACTAGACTACACTAAAGCAAACCTAGACATGAATTTCTTCTCATTACAGTCCAGCATCTCACTCAGGCTACACTCTACCTTCTTCTCCATCAAAAGCTTTTGCCGCAATTCCAAGGTCCTCTTCAACCCATGCCTGAAGTAGTCCGGATAATCAGCAACTTCATCAATTCCTCTTCCCATCACATCCACCAAAAACCTAATCCGCGGCTTGAGAGAGTTGTTGATACTCTTAATCAACAAAGGAGGATAATGGGTGACCATACCTGCAATCTGTGAAAGTTCAAATCCGCAGGATCTCAGGTAAGATAGGTTGTGCTTCAAGGTCTTATCCACATCTCTGCACAAAATTGCCGGGAAATTGAGAACCACCCTTTGCAGATCAATCTCCGTCAGGCCCAATGACTTCAAGAAGTCAGATGTGGGTCGCAGCCTGTTTTCGACATTATAACCCATTATAAACGGGTATTTCACCAGAACTTTACCGATCATGACTTCCTTGGACAGGCCCAGATCGGCAAGAAAATCCACAATCAGTGAGAGTTTTGATTCAATGCCGTAGCTTAGAATTCTGGGGTTTAGGAGAATCATCTTGCCGAGCTGTTTGTCAGTAATACCAAGAGCTTCAAAGAAGGCCAGCAGAGGGCAGAGCTTTTCTTCAACACTATGGGAGAGTATGTGAGGGAATTTGGTAATGGCAGAAGCTACATCGTTGGGCTTTGTTCCTAATGTGGTAAGACATTGGACCATAGGTATCAGTTTGTCATGCAAACCAAGAGTGAGGATTTTGGGGCACTTTCGGATGATGAAAGGAAGTTTCCTCTCCATAACGCCTATGCTTTTCAAGTAATCCCAATTTTCGGAGGCACTTTCACTCTGTGCGTCCTCAAGACGCCTGCACTTTTGGAACATTAAGTGGATACTCTTGTCATCGAACCCTCTGTCTTTGAAAAACCACATCATTCCAGAGGTGTGGATGTTTGTATTCTCCATACTTGCTGATAATGATTCAGGGAAGGTTAGTGAACTTCAAAATAGTGGAAACAATTAGATACACTGTTTTCTTACAACCAAAAGTAGTCCTGATTAGTCTCAGGAGATGCAACCTTTTTTATGAAAACCCTGACCTAGAAGGCCTATCCTGCAGAATAGACCAGAACTGCTAGTACTGACATAGTAACACACAAATTCATTAAAAAAACTACAAATAGCCATAGTAGTCACGGCGCACGGCGACCGCCATGGCGCGGGGGCAATTTCACGCGGCGATGGCGATGGCGCTAAAATGGCGCTATAATGGCGCTCCAGTAAAGCACAACATCAAAAAAGTTTAAACATAACCTATAGACGATATATGCGTATGACTTAATCACCAATTAAAGATTTAAATTGTTAAATAACCAAAATAATATAAAAAATAATCCACTGTTAAAAAATTGTTAAGTTGTCAAATTAAATAACTTATATGGTCTAACGAACCATCCAGCCAACTGGCGCACAAAAAATGAGAGGAAGTGAGAAACAGAGAACGAATTTTAACTTTACCAAAAAAAAGAAAGGTTTTAGCGAAGAAGTAAAACTGCGAAGCAAGGAGTCTGCGACTCTGCGTCCATGACATGCGATTACCGTCGCCGACCAGTTTCAGCAAGAATCGACGGCCACGCGACCAGCTACAGAGACGATGACGGTGACGCGACCAGCTACATAGACGACAACAGCGACCAGCTACAGTGACTGCGACTATCTCACGGAAGTCGCGACCCAAACGATGGGGCTCTACTGTAACGCGATCCAGAACACAGATTAACGCCAATATTTGGCGCAAAATGGCAAGAGCGAGGCGATGGCGCACATTTGGCAACGCAACCTGTAACATGTGCGCAATGGCCAAAAATAGTGGCGAGGACCCCCAGAATCGCCAAAGGCGAGAAATGGCGATCGCCAACTGCGCCATTGACTACTATGCAAATAGCATAGCTAAATAGCATCTCGAGATCAAAGTTGGCCTAAACACTACATAATTTTACTCCTATATTCACACTACTAAAAACCAAAGTTTTATGCTACTTCAAGTATCATCACTAAAAGTGACACCACTATTTAGATAATTTTAACCCTATCATCGAAGAATGAAAGAAGTTCGGCATTAGTCATCACCATCTTTATATGACTTTGTTTCAAATATTTCTAAATGTGGGTGATGAATTCCATAACAAAATATGAACATGAACATGAAAATAATGCATGTAAGCCCCTTATTTTCAGTTGAATCAAATATGATATGTAACAAGTAAAGCTGGATAGGAAGTAATAAAACAAACATCACTCTTGTGATACAAAGATTCTCATTGATGAATACTCTTACCGTCTCCCTTCTTCCCATCATGGAATATTTCACTCCCCTAAATACAAAAACTGTGTAGGCCAAAAAACAGTTCATTTTTCCAAAAATTTAGAGAAAAATCTTCACATCTTGAAATACAAACTGGACCAAACTTGAGCCTGGCAGGCTGTAAGGCCCTCCTATAATCCACCTGCAACGTCATGTTTACACACCTTGCTACCAACAAACCTACCTCTGTATTCATTACTTGTTACAACGTCATCGTAAAAGTGAACTAATTGGACAGTTATGTCCCTAGCTAGATGCCTTACACTCATCAACCTCTTTTTTTTGAAGATTTTATCATGCACTTGCGTGACATGCTTCATGTGCCACCAGTCCCCCACCCAAAATTTCATCGCATCGGCAAGTAACTATCACAGTTTTAACTTTTAATATTATTTCCTTTTGAGGGAGATACCAACTAGTGAAAGACAAGGAAAAATGCAAAACAAACTTGAAAGATTAATGAAATGCCCACCACTGGAACCAATGGTACATCACACACATACACACTACAAAGGAGCTAAGCTAATGTAGTGACTAGCTAAACATTAATTTGCACATTCTCACACACAAATTGAAACCTGTGGCCAGATATTCAATCATTGCCATCTCAGTTCTACTGTTTCTAAAAATGCAATCTCCTAAACACCCTTGTCTCCCCAGGCAGGAACACCTTTTTTGCTATAGTATGTCAAGTTTTTATAATTTACTTTAAAATGTTTTGTTGCTATCATAATTTTGTTTTAATTTTTAGTCTTTTCTTATGCTGTCACCCTGTAGCTATAAATACTAAAAATGTAAACTTTCTCACACTAGTAATCCAAAGTCTCTGCAAAACTTCTTCTTTTGCCCAAGCAATAAAAAAACTTGGCAAAATGTGTGGGTTTCTTGATGCGATAGATAAGTGATAACACTAAAAACTCAAATGGCAAGCTAAACTTGTAATACCCATAAAATGTTCATCACTGAACATCTGAAAAATAATTAATGATAAAATATCTGTATAATTAAAAAAGACATGTTTTTTGTTTGAGGGATTTGATAGGCTGGAAGTCAAAGAGAGTGAAGATGGAGCGTAGAGAGATAAATAATACCAGCAGTGGCGGAACCAGAACGAAAATAAAGGGGTGGCTGAGAGTGTGATAAAATGAAAAAATACAAATTGTTATTAAATTTTATAGAATATAAATTTGTGAGAAGAGTAGATAATATTACAATTAAATGTTGTAAACGTTGCAAAATTGCTTCATTTTCAATTTTGGCAAAAACTTCTTTCTCCATGTATATCATCAAGCTGTCTTTCATTCATTCATCTTCCATTCTATTCCGTAAATCAGTCTTGACGATTTTCATGCCAGAAAAGACACTCAATTGAAAACATGGTCACACGAGTAACCTAACAAGTTATAAAAGTTTTCGACTTTAAATTCTTAAATATTTATAATCAATTAAAATTCACATGATACTAATTAATTAAAGACATGGCACAATCAATTTCAAATACCCAAACTTATGGACTTGCCCAAAATAAGCAAATAAGCAACTGGCCTTCCGCAAACAAGCAATTTTAAAGGAAATAAGTAATTAAACCAACTACGCAATTAAAGTAATTCAAACAGAACCAATTTTAAAATTAATTACCACTTACGAACTTAGAGATTTACCCAAATCTTCCGCTTCGCCCTTCTGAGTTCGGACTTCGGAGTTCGTGATGCACACACGCAGAGCAAGTCAGGCAGGGACGGAGAGTCTGGAGTTGTAACGCGAGGTCGGCGACTGGCGAGGCAAACAGATGAGGAACGCGAGGTCTGGACTATGGTAGGACGAACAGACACAGGCGCCGAAGTGAAATGAGGCTGAACTTCCGGTCTCTGGGCTATGGTTATCCAGTATCCACGAGTGAGTGGTGATGCCGCTTCGTTAATTTTTATAGAGCTTCCTCCCCGCACCCCATTTTTATCCTGTCCTATTGCTGCGTATCGTGTTGGACAATTTTATCCTGGTCTATTACTCCAATTTATTTTGTTTTTATTTTCCTATTTTCCTTAATGTCTACTTTTTTTTGAAGAAAAACAAATTTATTAAAAGAAAATGAATTACAAAGAGTAAGGGGATCAAATCCAAGCCTACTCAAATTACAAAGCAAACAAAAGAGAATTCTATAACATCAAATTCAAGATATTGGTAAACTTAGTAGTTTGAGAGTTGGTGTCTTCACTGATGTACCGTGTTGCACGTTTGACTGTCTTATTAATGACTTCAAGGGAGATTGATTGCCTATTCAAAATTCTTCAAATGCGGGTAATAGTGTAGATGTTATCCCAATAACCAACGCAATGCGACATAATTACTTGTATGACCTTCTTGTCGTCTATTTGGATGGAATCAATCATACAATTTTTATTGCTACAAAAATTAAGACGTATAAGATGTAGCTTATAAGAGCAATTCGGGGGATCTTGCAATTACCTTTTGAGAGCCAATGGCAAGGAGTTTTCCTTTGTGGTTTCTAACAATGAAGACCGTATTTTGAGCAAGGCCAGCTTGGCTAGTAACAAAATTAATAGTGTTTGGTCTGGCTGGTGAGAAGTATTTCTTCAACTCGTGATTGTGAGAATAAGCAAGATCTTTTTTAATTTCAAAAATAGTCTTGGAATGCGAAATGGTTTTGTACTGAAGTAATTTGGCATTCCTCATTTCCCAAAGATTCCAAAGAATCATAACTGAGAAAGTTATCCTTATTGGTTCATTTCATAATATTATCCCTGAGACTGCCATCCAAAACACCGATACTAATTTTGAAATGGGACCAAATCAAGCTATTATAGCCACACTTCAGGAAATAGTGCGACATTTAATTGACTAAACAATACTCCCTTCTTTTGTCAAATTGATACTCGTGTAAACTTTATAATTTCGATTGCATCTTATTAATATACTTATTTTTAACTAAATTAATTTATACTTAAGAATATTAGATTATTAACTTTTATTTATGTTATGTTTTAAAATATTAAAGATAAAAGGCTTTGCAAAAAATATTATGGATAAAAGGGATTTTCATAAATAATATTGAAATATAATTTATGGACAAAATATTACTAAAAATATGTAAATATACTCTCACAGTCGCAATAATGTTGATGTACTATATTGTCATATACCTCAAAGGTATCCACATTTACGATAAAGTATCTCCACAATCCACTAAAACAATATCGGCCAAAGCAAAGCTCAGAACCAATTTTCAAATCATCAAGATAAGTCCAAAGTTGCAGCCGAGACCGTGGTCGACTCTCGTCGAGATTGGCGACATCTCTAGCACTACAGCCGAGCTCCAGGTCAACTATCACACTACTAGCGTAAAGATTGATAAAGGCATCACTACTTTACATTATGAGCCGAGGTCACTTACCTCTTGGCTAACACACTGCATCCTAGCTTGGTCTCTACAACCGAGCTTAGGACCTCGTACAAAGATTTTGAACCTGGACATTTAAGCACTTGGATGTCACACACATTCAGGGTGACGTTATTACGCGGCAGTTGCCCCAGAGCTGTTGCCACCTATTTCTGTTACACATGCCAGCTGCCAAGATAACATATGTGGCTTATCCAGTCACTCCAGTACGCAAGGACAAAAGCCGGTACAATACTACTAATCAATTAGGTGTTACCTCTCCAATTAGTTTTACACATGTCAACCACTCAATGGGGCAGATACTTTTAGTTGTTCCTTGAGTATTTCTTGTACAACATAAATATCACCTTTCAACTTGTAGAAAGGGTCTGAATTCTGTATTCTCAGTCTTACTGTTACTCTGTCAAATTTCTTACACGATCTACACTTAACATTTTCCGGCTCTGCACCGGTTTCTGTCTACCCCAGATAGTCCAGATTTAAATCAAGTTTAGGTTCTCTCCAACGATTTCAAACAACTAAAATGGTGAAAAGCGCAATGAGAAACATACGAGTAGTCAATCGGGCGTCAAATGGAGCGACAACCAATGCCGCCAGGCCGATCTCTTAAATGGATACAATCTCTGAGAATGGAACCAATCAAGGTCCCATAAGTGGATCAAGTATCAACGCATCGAGACACAGGCCCACAAACCTTCCATAACCGACCGGACAATTATGTGAAAAATGATATCTCCAAATGGGCATCAACGATATGAATTGACAGTTTGACAAAGTTGGACTTGAGGTACACTTTTTGGTGTACACACTTTTACACATGTTTGTGTAGAGTTTTTTGTCTGTATACAGCCAAAGGGTTTTGGAAATACATTTTGTCTGTATACAGATAAAAAAGACCTACACAAGCATATGTAAAAGTGTGTACACAAAAAAAATGGGTATTTAGATTTTTTTTGACAAATGGGCTAGCGTTTTAGATGTGGGATCCTTCAATTCCTTTCTCTTTCTATATCTATACTTTAATATACAAGGCATAAGCGTACGAATATTTGGCATGTCTGTGATCTTGTTCCATCGATAGGATAAAAAAAAAGGTACCGAATCGAACCCAAACGTGAATTATCAATTTGCTTCAGATTCTTTTTCTGGGATTAAGATCCCAACTTAATGATCCACCATGCATAAGATTGTGAAGAAAATTGAAGATGGAATTCTTCCGAAAAGCAGAGAAGGTCCGGCTCAGGGGACGGAGAGACAAGCACTTAATAGCCGCCGACGATCAAGAGTCCGTCGTGCAATGCCGGAACGGACCCGTAAATTCCAGCGTCTGGACGGTGGAGCTCATGGAAGGGAGAGACGTCCTCCGCCTCAAGAGCTGCTATGGGAAATACCTCACGGCATCTGGCCTCCCCTTCCTCCCCGGCGTCGCAGGGAAGAAGGTCACCCAGACCCTGCCGGAAAAGAACGACCCGTCGACGGAATGGGAGCCCATCAGGGACGGGTTCCAGGTCCGGTTCAAGACGTTCCGGGGAAATTATTTGCGCCCGAACGGCGGGCTGCCGCCGTGGAGGAATTCGATTACCCATGACCCGCCGAACCGGAACCGGACGTACGAGAAGGCACTGTGGGATGTGGAGGTGGTGGAGGATCGGTCGGCTGTGGAGGAAAGTGGACACCGGCGTACGAGATCGGACGACAGGGAGGACTCTGCATCTAGACGAGGAAGATCGATTCGATCCGCCGCGTCTCTCGTATCGCCTCGGTCATCCGATGCTAAAAGAGGGCAAGAGTTCATTTGACTGCCAAATCATTTGAAGAGTAGCAATCTTTGGGGCTCTTCTAAATGAATTTTTTTGATGAAGTGCAGTTTATTCTCATGAAATTCTGAAGGTTGTTAAATCGATCATTTACAAACACTGTGTTTTATACTTTTATGTATATAAATTGCACATTTTTTTTTCAATTCTACATTTGATTGATTTTTGGATTGAATTTTTAGTTAAAACTTGGTGGACATAAATTAAACTTGTTGAAAAACATGCTCAATAAATTTAATAAAAAAAGATCCACCGAAAAAAAATCTCAAATGGCCTAGGCCGAACGAGAATCCTGTCAGGTCGGCCTAATGTAAACTGTCATCATCATTTCAATGTAATGGAAAATTACATTCAACCAGGACTTAGACTTAACAAATTTAAAATATGATTACATATGTTTCTTTAAAAAATATGACTAGATACGTGCAAGATAATATTAAAAAGATAACGTTAACTTAAATTTATAGATGCTATATCATCATATAAACGATATGAGTCATATATTTTGTACTTCGTAAAAAACATCAATTTTAGTCATGGAATATTATGATGTTTTTACTTGGACGATTTTCAGTCTCAGGCCAGATCAAACTAGATCAAATTATACAAGTTCAGATATCAGTTCAGACTAGACCAGACCAGACTTGATAGTTATAAAATACACAGAGACCAAACATTTATCGGACCAGACCTGATCGGACCAACAAATTTCAATCCAAGTTAAAACATCCTTAGAATACATAATTTTCTCTTTAATCTAAGCGCCAACTATATGTTCTAAAGTGAAAGTACTATGTTTTTGGCTTGCTTAGCTCAAAAGAAAATGTTCTTGGCTTGCTTTGACCTAAATAATTTCAAATTCGAAGCATGTGATATGTTGAAATTATGTACTCTATTTTATTTATGACGTGTTTACCGACTTCTGTAATCTTTTGCTATGCTTTAACCTTAGTTTCAAAATGCCAAATGAATCGGTTCTACTAAAAGTCTAAAACAATGACCCACGTCCCAATACAAAGTAGAGTTATGTTATAAGCACATTCGCTCTCTTACAAAGTGATTACAGTAGTCACATTGTAAATTTGTGTGTACCTGTACAATTTTCTAGAAAGTATTCTGAAAATCTAATACTCCATATAATATTGTCATGCTAAATTTATTTATTCGACAAGTAGGGTAGATGGGTATGCCCAAATTTAATGCACTAATTTCTTTGTAATATATAAATTCGCGCATTCCTTGTGTGTTTAAAAAAGTGAAGTTCTCTCTGTATTATAAATAATCATCCGAAGAATTCCTTTTCTGAATATAATTGTCAAATAAAACAATAATTACCATTTGTGTATATACCTAGCGCGTGATTTCAGATTCATGCATTTTCATCCAAACTGATTATGCTATCTCATGCAGTTTTTTAAGACCAAACACTTCATACTCAGTTTTAAATAACAATGTTTAAAACATGGAGCATGTTATTATGTTGAGAAAAAAAGAGGTAAATGTTGGATATCAGCCGCGTGGCAGTTTGCTCTTACCTTGTGCCTATTTCGCGATAGGCGATTGGTTCACAGGTACAACCAGTTGGCCATATGAGTGAAAATTTGGAAGAATGAATCAAACGATCAATATACAAGCTAACCAACGGATATAGATATGATAATATAATAATGATATACATATGAAAATAACATGGAGTAAATAAATTATAAAGGTGGGTGTATGAAAATAATATGAAGTAAATAAATTATAAAGGTGGGTGTTGGTTCAATTATCACTACAGGAAAATGATGAAAATAATATTCTTTCTGATTCTTTCTACGTTCACGAAGTTCCTCAACAGTTGAAAAGAGAAAGGATGACAATGAAGAGTGAAGACATTGAGTTCGTATAGTTAGTGGAGTAGCCTGAAAGTCCAGATGATGAAAATCCAAATCTGAATGTGATTAAGGCTCTGTTTGCAATCACTTAATTTAAGTGATTGTGGCATTTTTTAAAGAAAAAAGCACTTTTTTTATCAAACACTACCAACTTTTACTTTATCGGCTTCTGTGTAGAATCTACTTTTTACTTTTTCTATTACACAAAAAGCACTTATTTTACCAAACACTAACAACTTTTACTACTAACCACTTTTTCCGAAAAGTACATTTATTTAAGCACAATCACTATCAAACAAAGCCTAAAGAGGGATTTACCGGTTTAGGGACTTTGGAGCAATTCACTTTGGCATTTGGATTATAAAAAAATTGATACGGAGTAACAATGAACTATTTTACCGAGACCAAATACAAGTGCAGAACTTGAGACCATAAGTTGCGTCGAATTCCTCATAAACTACAACAGCGAGGGGGATGACGTTATTGCTTTCTGCCTCAACTTTGCCTTCTGCACCAACATCTTCAAATCTCAACTACCTGTCATCCTCAATTGCTAAACCAGCAAACTCGCCATCGCGCCTGCTTGTTACGGGTAAAAGCCAAACCAGTTCTTCAAATTTCACATATTCTCTACTATTCAGCTACAATTCAATTTCCAAAATAATGACTTGGTTTGTTCTTGCTTGGTGTTACGGTATGCAATAGGATTGGATAAGAATAAACTTGGAAGCCAAAAGGCCCAACCATTTGTTGCTTTATCTGTGGGTTCTCTTCAATCAGTTTCCAAAACTGGACTAGGCAGTATTAAACCAAGAAAAGGCGGTGATGAATATGGGAAATTGGTCAAATTGAGTGAGGGAAGGGACGAGGATGAGATATATGGCTCTGTGTGCCCCGGTTGTGGAGTCTTTATGCAGGACAAAGACCCCAATCTTCCCGGATATTACAAGAAACCCACTGTCTATTATTCCGCAATAGATATAGAGGAAAACAATGAGGCCCTTTCGGATTATGGTGATGATGGAGATGAGTTTGAAGTGGTTGATGATATTGATACTATTGAGGGAAAAATGGAAGAAATGGATTCTGGAAATGTGGATAGAATTGATTGGGATGCCGAAGACTGGAATTCGGGCTTTGTAACCAAAGATGATAATGAATTGGACGGATTTGGCCCAGCTGGTGTAGGTTATGGTAATGTCACCGAGGAGTTTCTTGAGAGAAGGAAGAAGAAAAGGGTTTCAAAAGCAGAAAAGAAAAGGATCGCAAGAGAGGCATCCATGAGTGAAAAGGAGGAGGAGGCGACAGTGTGTGCTAGATGCCATTCACTGAGGTGTTATGGACAGGTTAAAAATCAAGCTGCAGAGAATTTAATACCCGACTTTGACTTTGACCGGTTAATAACCACCAGGCTAACAAAATCCACCGGGAACGCCGATGCCACAGTTGTGGTCATGGTGGTGGACTGCGTAGACTTTGACGGGTCATTCCCAAAGAGGGCTGCCCGTTCTCTATTCAAAGCGCTCGAAGGCATTGAAAAAGAAGGGGCAAAACAATCTAAAAGACTACCAAAGCTTGTTCTGGTGGCAACTAAGGTTGACCTTCTCCCCTCCCAAGTTTCTCCAGCAAGGCTTGATAAATGGGTAAGACAGCGTGCTAGGGCTAACGGTGCACCTAAGCTGAGTGGTGTTTATTTAGTCAGCGCCCGCAAGGATTTAGGCGTGAGAAACTTGCTGGGATTCGTTAAGGAACTCGCTGGTCCACGTGGTAATGTGTGGGTTATTGGGGCTCAAAATGCCGGAAAGTCAACATTGATTAATGCCTTTGCAAAGAAGGGAGGAGTGAAAGTTACAAAGCTCACTGAAGCTCCCGTGCCTGGCACTACGCTAGGGATACTGAGAGTAAGAGGGGTATTGTCTGGAAAGGCAAAGATGTATGACACTCCTGGCCTTCTACATCCCTATCTATTGTCCATGAGGCTTAACCGGGACGAGCAGAAAATGGTTGAGATACGCAAGGAGCTTCAACCTCGCAGCTACAGAATAAAGGCAAGTTTTTTTTAATCTATGCCTACAACAAAAACAACACTGAAGCGTTATTCAAACTTTTTTTAAACAAAAAATTACACTGAATCGACAACAGTCTGAGTCGTTTGCACTCGCAAACCAATGCGATTTTTGTGTGTATTTTTAATTTGACACGCTATTTGTGTAGGCGTCTGGGTTAACCTCACATGGTCAATTGAGTGTGTATGCGCATACACACACACAAGGAGTGGTTCCAGTGAGAAAGGATTCTCAAGAGAGAAATGAGAAAAATCTGGACCGTTGAATTGTATTATGTAAAATTGAATTGTGCATTAGGTGAAATTGAAATATGCAAAATCAAAGGTCAAACTCAAATGTGCATTACGTTACATTGAAATGCGCATAATAAAAGGCAAAAAATGTCACAACATTGTAGCTTTTATTGTGTACATTTCAGTTTCACAATGCACAATTCAACTTCACATAAATCATTGTGATGTACCTTTTGTGCTCTACATTTCGTATCACTTAATGCACATTTCAGTTTCACCTAATACACATTCAATTTCACAGAATACAATCTAACAGTCCGGATTCATTTTCATTTCTCTCCTAAGATCATTTTCTCACTTCAACCTAATTGACTGTTTGGCGGGTAACCAAACAATCATGATTTACTTTTTGCTATTATTCCTTACAGAGAAACGCCTCACTTAATACGGAAGTTGGAATCTTGAAATAGTTTATTGACTGTTCTAATTATGAAGTTAATCTACATTTTGTAGCCAGGGCATACTATACATGTTGGCGGGCTAGTAAGGTTAGATCTCAATCGTGCTTCAGTGGATACCATTTACGTCACTGTTTGGGGTTCCCCAAGCGTCTCTCTTCATCTTGGTAAAACAGAAAATGCAGATGACATTTGGAGCAAGCACTGTGGGGTTAGGTTGCAGGTAATGTCATTTACATTCCATCCTGTTATTAGTTCCGTCTTTTCGAAAGTATGCTTATGGATTTATTATGAACCAGTTCCACCTAATTTTGTAGAATTGTACGCGAAGCATATTAACTTATTTAGCCTAGTAGTCCTCTACAGATATGGCTCACTAAATAATTTACGGTTTAAGTTTCCTTTACTTAATGGACATGGTATGAGGATGGCTTATTTCAAGAACAGTTATAACAATAAGTCATAATCATCAGTCATCTTGTAGGAGGTTGATGTCATAAAATTTGTTGTGTCAATT